GCAACTAAAAGAGTGAAGGCAACAGAATCTTGAAATCCAACACCTGTGAGCCGAAATGGTGTCACAGGGTGGTTCCAAGTTTTCATCACACCCTTCTCCTCATCTTCACCCATCACAACCAGAAACGGATGGGCACTTCTTTGGTATTTCCGTGGGGGTTCCCCGACAGATCGCCCAAACAACATCAAAAAACCATTGCGATCCAAAACTACCGGCTGCCCGCCTTCCTCCCGCGGGCGAAACGGGCAGGAAGACTTGATCCCACCCGGAGCTCATCCTCCCGACGTTTTGGGCCTCATGCCCCCGGGCCTCAAACCGGACAAAGCGCATTTGTACAAGACCTCCTTTTGCAAGCGCTGGGTCTCTTGGATGGAGACACTGAGGAAAAACACACCTGCCAACGCCAAAGAAAAGCATAGAAAAGCGGTAGGAACCGGTAAACTTAAACGTGCAGAAGCGGTGTTCTTGGAATACATGGCTCATTCTTCATCATTCTTGTCAATTTAAAAGCGAACCATTGGATTGCTCATGGTTTATATAATTTATATATATATATATAACCGGTCGTTGGGGTCGGATCCAGCCGGGTGGGTGGACCTGGTCGGAGAGGTCGTAGGTCTTTGGGTGGGAACAACTGGTGTGGCCCTGTTGGAGTAAATGTGATTAAAATTGCAAGTATAGTCTAGATATTGAATGATCTTGAGATACTTGTGCATGACCTGAACATACAGGCTCACCAACGGCCTGCCTTGCTGGATATTGACATATATATGTATATATACAGTCCAGAAGCAATGCTGACTTATGGTTTTGATATGGAGGTTCCGAAGTAGAGTTTTTGCTATAAAGAGGAAATATAGGAAAGAATCTAAAAAACACCAAGGAGGGTAACCCTGCCAAATTCGGCATCCAAGGAGGGGAAGGTGGTAGCACTTGCTGCGTGATTTGCCCATCATCGATCAATTGGCTCCCCCAAATGCACCCCATGGCCATATGAAACATCGGTTTGCAGCCACGCGACCCTGTCACGGGCAACAGAATAATGGCTGTGATGAGGGTATGTCCAACTGCAACCTTTTTGCATTTGTTCTTGCATTTGGACTGTGGTGTGGCTGTGCTAGGATGATTGTGTGCCTCTTCGCCACTGAGGAACAAGGAAATTGCAACTTCGGCGCTGCGTGCCATTTTGCCCATGGTGAACGAGAACTCAGAGGACGGATACCAGCTCAGAGCGGTGTCCCTAGTGTTCCTGCGGCCCCACCTCCAGTGCCGCCACGCCCACCAATGCCAGTAACCCCCCCTTCTGTGCCATCGCATGACTGGACACCCGGCTGCGGCTGTGGAGGCTCTTGTGCTTCATGTCCGCGAGGCTCAGGTCCCTGCGGCTCTGGAGCTTGTGGATGTGGTGGATGTGGCCCTGGGTGTGGCCCTGGTGGCTGCGGACCTGGTGGCTGTGGACCTGGTGGATGTTGCCAAGGCGGCTGCGGACCTGGTGGATGTTGCCCAGGC